GAGCCTTGGAGTAGTATATATTTCATGTAAATCAAGGTTTTTTGCAAAAGTGTATCTTTCCTTATGCCCAGTGTTATAATCAGGAAAAAAAATCTGGTAGGCTTTTGGGCACACAGTGTGTTTTTTCAGATGTAGTCACTTAAATAAATGCATCTGTCGAAAATTTTAAGCTGTATACAATAATGCAGTGTTACTCCAAATAATTTATTGTTAGGTAGTGTGGAGTTTGAAAGTTTAAGTATTCAGGGGAAAAATAAAACACAGTTGTGTAGATTTCGGGATGTTTATATATTTTGGTCACTTCATTTTCATTGCAATTAATGGGAAGTATCATTCTAAGTACTTTACTAACTTGAAAAATAAGAATACCATTTTTAAAGCATCCCTAATTTAACAGAAGTTTGAGTTTCAGGAAAATTCAGCTATGTCACATCCTGAAACTGCTGAACCTTTCCCCATTCGCAGCTAAGGGAAATGGATAGAGGATACCATACCAAGAAATATCTCGACCACGTTTTTTCTTCAAGAAATAATTAGAGCGTGCTTTTTTGGGTTCTGAGCTGCAGCTCTTACTCGGAGAGAAACTTCAAAGTAAACCCAGGTAGAAACAGCCCAGAGCTGGTGTCCCCATCTTTAATTGCAGAGCGAGGGGTTTGTGTGGAACAAGCTGAAAGCCAGTGCCCGGTGCCAGCGAGCTTCGAGAGCTCCAGAAGGTGGGTCGTCAGGAACGCCGTGACCTTTACAGACAGACAGACTGAGCAGTTCTATTTAGGAATGAGAAAACAAGAACACTTGGTGTGTTGTATCGTACGTAGACTTTCCAGAAGAATGTTTGACCGGGTGGTAATCGGCTGTTTTGGTGCTTGATGCCTGGGTTCTTGTTACAGCGATTGTAAGTCAACGAGCAATGACCATCCTGTCCTTCTCGGTGTGCTCACAGGGGAGAGGAACCTGATAAAGAAGGCAGCAGGAGCAGTGAGCTACAAAAATGTAAAAAATTCCAAATAGCAGACAATCATTACGTTTTTCAGTACTGAGAAATCATTTGGCATGTTGTATACAGGTTTCGCAGAAAAATGTTTAGCTTTCAGAGAAGCTATTTTCACTGTAAGCTGTCCTTAGCTGCCAGCCTTAAAAATCTTAAAACAGAGTCTTATGAGATATGTAGATGCATACTTAGCTGTGCACAGATTTTGTTTCTTGTAGGAAAAAACTTAGCGCAATTTGTTTTACTGGGATTGTACGTGAAGTTTTCGTGCTGTCGTAGCACTGCTAGAAGCAAGCCATGCAAAACCCTGCAGCTCCCCACCTGCTTTGCCGTTAGACCACGTCTGCACACAAATACCCTTTTTTGCATATGCCCTGTCAGCCCGGAGTTTTAGGAGTTCATCCTGGAGATCTGCTTGCTCTGCAATAAAAGCACGAGGAAAAGCAGTCTCATACTGCGTTCATCTCAGAAAGTGTTCTTCCTTCCAGAGAGTCCCTCCCGTTGCATTGCTTCGATGCTCCTCGCTTTGCTACGGAGCTGTGTGTGTCTGTTGGAGACTGTATTTCATCAGAGTTAAGCCCGTGTTAGAAATACGCAAGTCATGTATCAGAAGCCAGCCACGTTTCCAGTGCCTGTGGAATTTGTTTTCCAGTCTTCAAAATTTTACAGACCTTTAACTTTTAAGGATGTTAACCAGTATGTGATTACTTTTAGAAGAGTTCAGCATGCTAGTGGATAATCTTTATCATGTTTAGCGAGTATGTTGATTTTCAGATTCTCTTTACTTTGCGCTGCATTAGCATAGAACTGCTGCAGATGTAACTGTAACACATGCAACATACAAAGTTATAATAAAATGAAATAATTCTCTGGGTTATACCAACTTTAAAAGAAAATAATTTACTCCTAAAGAAAAGGTTTTCCGTTTCTTTGCACTTCCTTGGACGTCACAGATCTTTGGAGTAGGGAGAACAGTGTTATGGCATTTGACTTGAAAAGAGATCGAAGTGAGAAGGAATGTTCGAATTGTGAGGTTCTGTGTCGAGCAATATCTTTTTGGGTATTTGTTTCATACAATATGCAGCACAGTATCTGGAAGTCTTGATTGAGCACTTGGATTTGTAGGTGCAGCATAACCCAAAACAGTGAGTCCAACTCCGCACTCCAAAAGGATAATACAAACAATATCAATCTTTAAACGTGCCATCCTCAAAAATGGCAGCTTTATTAGGCACTGAAATTCAGAACTGTAAGACTATGTTGTGATAAGAAAAAGCAAATGTCCCCAAAGCATCATTAAAAATATTTATGAAGAAATCAACTCAAAAAATCATGCTTATGGTGCTGCCTGCAAATACTACAACTAATAACACAGCTTGGTGTTTCAGAGAGATGGTTTCCTCATGATTTCACACATTGTTTTCAAATAAAGTAGATTGTAGCTTGTTGTTATGGAACAAAATGACTATGTACCAGGAAGGTGGGGTGATCTGATACCAGGTTTTTTTCACTCCAGAAAGCGTGTGTATTTTTTTAAGCCCTGTGATTACTTTAGTCCCTTTGTACTGGTCATTTATTTTGGTTAGTGCTAGTTCTCCTTCTGACTAGATCTGTCGTGCAGCGCTGGCGTTGACGTTTGTCTTGTCGTGCTGTTGTTACAGGCGTTTTCTCGAGTCGCGTGGGCGCCCGCGCACCACGCACCGATGCAGCGGGCTGTGGAATGTCAGCTTTAATTAGTGTCTCCAGCTTCTCGCGGTGGGCCGCGGCTTGGGTGGGAAGACACGGGTTATTAGAACGCACCTCCTACGCAGAATAGCTGGTTTCCTCCTGTACTCGTGTTCTAACCCTAGTGATTTTGCATGCGGTTGACGCAAGTAGGGGACACGCTGTTAAACCTTCTATGGATTTGGTGCGATAGTGCCGTCTTGACAAAACTTGCATCTTAATTGGAGCGGTTCTGTGACAGTGTTTAGAGAACCGTGTGCAGGGAACGGGCAAGATGCTCCTTTTCGGTAGTAGGTTCTCGGCGCGAAGGGGAAGAACGCGGGCTGGAGCCGTTCCTCCCGCAGGCGGGTCCCGAAAGCAGTCGTGCTGGCCGGGGCCTGGCCTTGGGGTGCGGGGGGAGTTGCAAAAAGAATGATTTGTGTGTCCAAAGAACTTCAAAAGTAGCTCATGGAGTTGCATTTTTAAGACATTGGATTTGACGTTCGGGACTATTCCATATCTTTTCTTAAAGTCTATACAAAAGCTGATGGGAAACAAAGAGAACAATCGAAATGCACCCAAACAGCAGTGGATCAGGTTCCCTGACAGCGAGCCCTTCGGAGCAGACGTCACGTCCTTTTGTCTACGTCAGGAAAGCGCTTAGTGCTTCAAACCGTGCTTAGTGCTTCAAACTGTGCTTAGCCCTTCACGGACCCAAATGCAATCAGGTGATGCTGATAAACGCTAAGAACAGCTACACACCTGTACCTCCTGCTGCGGAATGAAGGCTCATTCCAGCTGATCATCATTTTTTAAAGTGGGAGCTCTTCAGTAGTTCTCTGTGAAAGTAGTACAATAAAACTCTTCAGCAACTGTACCAGTAAGCGTGAAATAGCTAGCAAAATTGCAGCCATTCTCAAGCAAATCTGTGTTCAGAAGATCACGGAGGTGTTTAGAATAGCTGTCACTCGATGTGGCAAATTTCATACACAGTACTTTGATCTCTATGGTATTAATGTGCCAAAGTTTTAAAAATAAACTGTAGATTTCAAGTATCAGCTTGATCCATGTTTACTGTTCAGAATTCAAAGACAATATTATATGTAGTCTCAAAAGCTGCATTTCCAGTTGCCAGAGATTAGTAAGTGTTAATGAGTAACAGTAAGCTGACAACCTGTAAAGAGATTATCAAAGTGGAAAACTAATTATATAAACAGCATTATTTTGGACATATGTTAATCCCAGTTCTAAAAAAATTACTTTTGTAGGGAATGAATATTACTGTCATTTCTTCCAATTTCTATGAATTTCTTAAGTTCTTGATTGCTAATAAACCAGTGATTGTCTGATGATCAGCAGAGCTTTAGAACTCCGTGCTTTACTTGAGAATTTTCATTAATTTGATGTCTCCCTCTTAACGCTGACTAATGAAACAGCGTTAGAAACTGTTTGCTGAGGCATTCCACAGCACTGTTAAACATGACTTTGTGAAGCGTAGAAGAAATGCACTTTTATTTTCTCCTCTAGATAGCGTGTATACTCTGGTGGTTAGGCTGCAGCCCTCTGTTGTTGTTAGGTCCTTCTGAAAGCGCCAGTCCCTTTGTGTGAAGTTGCATGCTAGTGTTGATTTTCGTAGCAGCAATATAGCTCCTCAAGAAAAGGCAGTATTCCTCAGTGTAGGCTCCAAAATTGTGAAAGGTTTCCTTTTCGTATCATGCTAGTTCTCTTCTGCTGCACGTGATGAAAGATACTCGAAGTCTCTGGTGGGTTGGCAGCAGATTCTCCTCATCTGGAGCCATTTACATTTTCTTTTCTTCCCTGAAGCACTAACTTTGACGAGAATAACCTTTTGAATGGTATGTGGCTGCTTCGTCAAAATACAGTTGTGCGATGTATTTACTTAGCATGCTCAAAATGTCAGGGATACGTGTATTGATTTTTGTACCATTTATGCATACTGAATAAATACCACGGGCCTAGGAAGACTGCTGCGTTTGGGTTTTTGTCCTTCTGTGCTGAAGACCATGTTTTTTCCGCCATTGCCCCCGAGACTTTTGAAGAGTTACTTTGCCCTTGCAGCTCTTCAGCGTCCTACTCTACGCACTTGTCTCTGTGTTGTGCCCACTTAAAGCTCGTGGGACATCCCCATGGTCACGGGGGTTGTGTGACATGAGCACAGCCGGACCAAGGGTATCTCTGAAGAGGGCTGTGCCAACTGTGGTTCTGACTGTCTGGTTTATTATCTCTGAATGATCCTTTTAACGAAGTACAAAAGGTGAGAATTGTTTGTTTTTCTTCTTCTTTCTAGGGGACATGAGTTTTGGGTGGATTTGAATGTTATGAAATTATATGAAACTGTTGAGTTCGACCAAATGCGGCGGCTGTCCACACCTTCCTGCCCCAGCTCCAGCTCCAACTACTACACTGTCTGGAAATACTTCTGCAGGGACCACTTTGGCTGGAGAGAGTACTCTGAGGTATTTAACATGTTCCAGAATCCTACTTTTGGGTTGTAACCCAAAACTCTATGTACAGTAAATACTATACACTATATATACATTTTCAGTCTGTGTTCCCTTCCAACATTCAGGAAAGTTACTTAGAGTTGTTGTTGAGGAAGATAATTGAGAAGGTCAGTGTTGAACTGAAAAAGCAATAGAGAACTCTGCTTTGCTGGACTGGACCTTGAATTATGCCTGAAAACATTGGAAACACAGAGGCTGACCAGGTTGTCAAATTTGAGAGCAGACTGGCCCATGTCAGTACCAAGAAAGTCCTTTCTAATCCCTACAAATCTGGTTTTAAGACAAGGGGACAGCTTTCTGCAGCCTTTTTAACACCACAGCCAGTTAGCTCTGCAGTTTTTAATTGATTTGTCTGTCCCCAAAGACACTGCAGTGCAGGTCGTGAGCCTCCAGAGTCCCTGGACGTGGCCCTTTGCCGTCTCGTAGGCTGCACTGTACACCGCTGCAGCTGGACGGTGCCACAGCTGCCAGCGCCCGCGCCTGAGGGATCTTTTCCTAAATCCCTAGTTTAAATCTGTTCGCCAATGGTTTGTGCACACTTGTGCCAGTGTCACCATTGCCCTTTGGTCTTTAACAGCCACAGTTTTCCGTATCAGGGTTTAAATAGGCCTTCTCTCTTTCAACTCTTTAACCCCAATGTTGGTCACAGAAGTCACATCCACTGTCAAACAGTATTGAGCTAGACAAAACCACACCAAAACCAGAATACTGCTTCTATTCACGTCATTCAGGTAAGCTTTTTAAATACCTGTGGTAGTTAAGAGCTCATCTTTGGCTGGCCAGAGCTGTACGTAATATTTTGAATAAAATCTTATCAGTGTCTTACAGTTTCGGCAGTACCTTCAATACCTCCCCCGTTGTAAACTAGATCATGTTTCGTCTTTTTCATGCGTCATGCTGACTTTCTAAGTGTGGTAGGAAGCTTAAGGCAGAGTGCTGTATACAGTCTGGGGCTTTGCAAATGAAAAAAAAAAGGACTGGAGAGAGTCTGGAAGTAAGAACCACAAATAAGAAGTAGTTTAGGATGTTTGACTTGCGAGGAGAAGTTAAAATAACTGGGTTTCTCTACCGTAGAAAAGAAAAAAAAATATGAAAATATATTAAAATATAAAAGACTTCTGCTTTTCACCTTCAGTGGGCAAAGACAAAAAATAAGTGATTTGTGGCAAGGGAGTTTTAGGATAGATACTGGGAATAACATGGGATATGGAAAAATACGATAGCACCAGCACCAGTTATGTAGGAAAGTTGTAAAACCTGCCTTGTTGGCAGTTCTTATGAACAGGTAACGGAACATTTTTCAGCGGTCGAAATGCACTTGTGCCTCAGAGCAGGGGAAAGAGAGGAGAGGGGGAGGGAGTAGAGAGAGGGATTCTTTGAGGTCCCTGGCAAAAATGCTCATTTTTGAATATGTAATTTATCATGTGTATGTTTTTGTTTCCTTCATTTTCTTGAAACAGCCAGTTGTAAGACTGATAGAAGAAGCCAGCTGCCGGGGTCTGAAAGAGGTTCGGTTTGTCACCTGGCATAATCAGTATATCTTAAACATCAAAGATGGATTCCAGCAAAATGCGTGTTTCAGAAGAGAAATCAAGAGGAGACCCCTCCTTCGCTCGTGCGTCGTGCTGATGCCGTTTTTACAGTATGTATCCCAGCAAAATGGAAACTTTGCATTTGTTCTCCATGGCGGTCTGTCCGTGAGAATTGTATTCCTTAAGATGTGACAAGGAAATAGGCATCGCTGGGTAGAAAAATCAGAAGTGATAATGAAAAGTCTCGGTCATGTTGGCAGCTCTCGGTTTCTGCCTTTCAAGATAAATATTATCTGAGGAAGTCCTTACTGCTAGGCTCTGTTTGTTATTTAAGTGTAATGATGTACCTTGTGGATCTCGGAACATCAGAAGCACAGATGTACTTCAAGTTTGCCAAAGTATCATCCAGCTTTCAGCATCTCACCGGCTGTAGTGATCACCAGGCTGTCAGTTCTAGGTCCCATGAAATGAGCGTTCAAAAACATTTTATAATTTTCCAGCGCAATTAAAGCATGCCTTGTTTTTATTGTCATCTCAACTGGGGGTGAACACGCTTGCCCATCAAAGGCAGAGTGAGGAAAGTGTTGCACTGTAGTCATTTTTGATTACAACTCATAAAAATGCCATTTTTGTGATCTCACCAGCACAGCTGGAAACGTTATTGTCAGAGTTCAGTAGTTAGGAACATATTGTCCTGTTAGCGGAGGGGTGGAAGTCGTTAGTCTGACTGGCAGCTTGGCATGCTGGGCCAGTCAAAGGAGCTTTAACTGCTGCAGTAGGGCTAGAACGCTCGTTAGCTTGCAGAGTCATTACCACATCTAACTGCAAGGTGAACGTGAATTTGGTCAGAGCCTCAAAACACGTGGTTGTTAGAAACGTTTTTAGATTTCGTTTTACAGGAAGGAAACCCAAAATTATTAAAGAGATACTGGGAGGATGCAGGTAAAAAGGCCAAGCGTGGACTTTCTGGTTGTAGCAATTCTGATTATCATCTTAATGAAAAATAAGGATTTTGGGTATTGTCCTGATGTTTTGCTGCCAGTGACTATTTTACTACAGTGTAAGTTTGTGACTTTGACATATGCTAAAATTATGCAATTCCCACTAATTTTAGTGGACCTTTGAGGGCTCTACGCTCATGAGGGCTTCACCATAACTATCCATGCCAGCTACCAAGTCTATAAACTAAGCTCTGAAATTTCTGTTGTTCTGTAGTAGACCCTATTCTTACTTTCTTTATCTAAAGACCTTGTAATGCTTGCTTAAAAATCTACCAATTCTTAGCAAGGAACAAAAGAGTATTTAAAATATTTACAGGAACTATTCTTAAGGAGTCAGTATTTGCCTCCACTTATCACACAATGCTACCTGAGGTTTTTTATTTCCCTCCCCTCCCACCTACTTAAATCTGTTATAAAATTGGGAAAGAATTCTTGAATAGAAACTGTGGGAAGTGGGTGATGATAGTGGTTGACAAATGTTGACTTTTTAATGGCTTCCCTTGTATAATAAATGCTGACAAGTCATGTACACTAGTGGGACGAAATGAACAAAGTACACCAGAGGATTGCAGTACTTTATTGTGTTTGATGTCTTACTCATTAATCCGTAGCTCACTGTTAATCTGTGCTTGGTCTTCCAGTCCAGGTGTGAGTGAAGGAGGCTCTACAGTAATATTTTTTTACTCGTTGACTTTAGCAGGGAAAAAAATAAATTAAATGCACATGTAATATTGCTGACTGCTATTTTAATAATCATTCTTCTGGGTTTCTGTTAAACTATTAATAAACAGAAGAATTTTGAGTTGAGTCAACTCCATGCAAATAAAGTGAGCTCTCTTTTTAGCTTTGAACAGCAGGCGAAAGCCACATGAACATTTTTTTAAAGAATATGTCTGCTCTGAAAAGTGTAAGTACTGTGACAGTTTACTGTCTTTCTGATCCAAATCAAACGTATCAACTTAAAAGTAGACTTTTTTTTCCCCCCAACTTTTTTTCTAGACCTGAAAAGCTCAAGCTGCAATTAAAAAATCACACTAAATTATTTCTGGGTCACACAAAAAAATCACACACAGTTCTTTCAGGCTCATATATCACTAGCAGTAAATATTCTGAAAGGCAACCTTAATTGACATTTCTGTAGGTATGATGTGAATAGCAGTATAATTCTTATTTCTCTAGGTAATTATGTTGGCTCTGCAGAGAAAAGCAGGCTAACGAGCAGGGACAATCAGCAGTTGCTCTGTGATTGTGTTTCGGTGTACCTTGAGAACAGACTGGCTGGGTGCAGAAGTCACGGTTACGCGCCTTTTCAGGCAGCATCATGCCTGAACAAAAGAAGATTGATTCCTGAAGAGTCACTCTGGAGAAAATAGCTTTGCCTTCAGCAGAGCTTTGGGAGGTTGTTTGTTCGACAGTAAACTTTCTTTTTACAAAGACGGCGTAGGGAATCGAGTTCGCCTGTCGCTCCTGTGTGCGAAATGCAACTGTGTATATGTGGGGAGGCAAGATTTGGCCTCGGATGTTGTCAAACCTCAGCTTGCCCAAGAGGAATACGCAAAGGATTTACTTTCCCCATTTCCTCCTAGTCAGAACAGGTTTTCTCCTTATGCTTTGGCAGTGACGTGCTACCAGAACACCAGGGACTGAGAAATTTCATGAACTTTAATCTTCATTAAACTTTAATTTAATGAAATTTAATTTAAGGTCATCTGTCGGGTTTAGAGACAAGATTCACCTTGTCATTCCAGCCAGACCAGGGGTACCTCTGACTTCGTAGTCTTTCCTAACAAGGGCTGCCTGCTTCTGAGTGCACCGTACCTGTTTGCGTTCATTGCTGGTTGGTCCTGGAGTCAATAGCAGCTTTTCCTATAGAAATACCATCGTAACATACTCATCTGGTGAAATTTTTAGTTCCATATATTCTTGCAACAGAAAGGGAACCTCAGCAGCTTGCAGGAGCTGAAGAGCTGTGTACTTAGAATGTGAAAACCAGAGCCTGAACCTGCAAGCTTTACAAGTTCCAAGTATTTTCATTGACGTAAGCGGGAGAACTCTAATAAGTAAGGATTATTCGGCCGAGTAAGGCGTGCTTGTTTGGATTATAATCAGGTGAACATAAGCCACAAATGACACACTGTTTGTCTAAATTTAGCCACTTCAAGAGTGTGAAAAATTCTGCAGAGGTGCAGGTATTTATTAAGAACAAAGTCTTGCCACGCCACAGTTGGCATCCGTAACTGGATTTTACTGGCGGCCGTTCTTTTTCTAGCATCCGTGCTGCTTTCCTGCCGCGGCCGTTACAGGCTGCAGCTCCCCTCCTTCACCCCTTCCTGACTCCTACCTGGCAGCATTCCCAAGAGGAGGGGCTGGTCTGTCGCATGAAAATAAGCAACTGCAAGTGCAAATCTACATCTGGCCTGGGCAAATGAAAATTGAGAGCGCCTTCCTCAGCACGATACTGGGTGGTACTGAAAACATAGCGTCTCCTCTTCTACCTAACGCAGTCAAATGTCTGCAAGTTTGGCCTATAAAATGTTATTATAGAATCATAGAACAGTTTGGGTTGGAAGGGGCCTTTGGGTTGTTGGTTGGGGTTATTCATTATTCATACTGTACAAGGAAGTGTATGTTTCTACTCCTTGTGTTCTTAAGGAAATTAGGTCAAGTGTTGCCACGTTATCGGTCTTTTCTTATTCTGTATGTTAAAATCACTACTAGTTTATAGCTAACATACAAAATGATTTTATTTGGTAGTATTCTGCCTGTCTGTAGTTTATAACCCCACTCCAGAATGTGAATAATGACGATACTAGGCTTTTAAACACCACCAAGCAGTAAGATTGCCCTATGTGGAACAGCATCCCTGAAAATCAAGATTTTTGTTACGAGTTTGTATGGATGGTGGAGTTATTAAAAGAGCAGAAATAGCTGGCATGTTTGTTTTAAACAAGCACTAAAGATACGTAAATTGTTAGGGAACTGAAGAGCAGCAATTGCTTAAGATGCAATTGCTTAATTGCTAAGCAATAGGACGAGAGGAAATGGCCTCAAGTTGCGCCAGGGGAGGTTTAGATTGGATATTAGGAACAATTTCTTTACAGAGAGAGTGGTCAGGCATTGGCACAGGCTGCCCAGGGAGGTGGTGGAGTCGCCATCTCTGGAGGTGTTCAAAAAACGTGTGGACGTGGCACTTTGGGACATGGTTCAGTGGGCTTGGTGAGGTTGGGTTGACAGTTGGACTTGACGATCTTAAAGGTCTTTTCCAACCCTAATGATTCTATACGTTGGTGATGAAATAGATGTGATGCGAAGCTCTTCTGTTTGAGAATGTTTAAGCACAACTTTTTTTCTCTTTCCCCAACTAGGACCTTAGGTGGTAATTCTCCAGTACCCTCTCCTTCAGCTGAACCGGCTTCCTCACATGTCTTATCTCCAGCTGCTGTTACCTCTCCAAACTTCTATCCTGAAACCTGGATTAGTATGGATCCATCTCAGGACTTCATCCAAGTGCCTGTTCTGAAGGAAGATAAAAGCTATAGAACCATTTATAACCTGTTTCACAAGACTGTGCCAGAGACCAAATATAAAATTTTGAAAATTCTGAGAGTGCAGAATCAGTTTCTTTGGGAGAAATATAAAAGGTAAGATAATGCAAATACCATTCTTTTACAATAGTGGAAAAATACCTTAAAGTATGTAATTTGGGCTGCAAAATATAAACTGATCATTAAGTACAATACATAAACTCCCGATTTTCTGAAGAAAAGGAGCATCTTCAGTTGAACAACTTTATCTGAAAAATATCTTACTCTGAAATTTCCTGTGTAAGAAGTTTAATATTCTGTCTACTCATAACTTCTGTAAATATATCTTCACAGAAACCTCAAAATAAATCTAGGCTATCTGGTGGAAAAATCTTTCAGTTCACTTCCTCCGAACTAGGAGGAATTGTATTCATCAGATAATCTCTATATTGAAGGTAGCTGTCAGTGCCTTGGTTCCCCAGAACATGGCGGCCCAGGGTCTTACAGCGGTCTCGCAAAGGCGAAATCCTACCTCAGGCAGTCCCTTCAAACCAGAGGTGTTGTGTCTGAAAGTTACCGTCCATTGACCACTTCCCAGCTGATAGGAAATTAGATTTGTGGATTCTGTCTCCCTTCTCCAGAAATGCAGAGTCTCGAGAGAAGTCGAGGGCTGGGCTGTGTGAGCAGAGACTGCCTTTCTTACGGTCTTTATGCCGGCGGAGAGCATCCTTGCCCACCCTGTCTCTCAGTAATTCCTCTGTGGCCTCTCCTGAAGCTAGAGTGGGCTTTAATCTTTGCACAGCCCTTGTTTTCACCTTCTGCACCCAAGGTGAAATACAGATGGAGATAAGCAGGCATTTCTCTGCCTCCAACAGTATCAGCTCAGGTCCTTTAAAACGTACTTACTTCACACAAAAGCTTCATTTGAAAGCGGAAGACCCATTCTTCTATCTGTACAGAAATGTTTTCCTATCTCCTCTTACAGGTCTACTATTCCAGAGGATAATACTGATACTTCAAGAGCTGTGGTGAAAACTGCTTTTCCCTTGCAGATCTGCCATGAATACTCATCTTTGCTTTTCCGTTTTCTGTTCCAGGAAAAAGGAATATATGTCAAAAAAGATGACTGGGCTTGACAGGATAATGAACGAAAGGCATTTGTTCCATGGCACCTCCCAGGACGTGGTGGATGGAATCTGCAAGCACAACTTCGACCCGCGCGTCTGTGGGAAGCACGCCACCATGTTTGGACAGGGCAGTTACTTTGCCAGAAAGGCGAGCTATTCCCATAACTTTTCCAAAAGGTCACCCAAAGGAGTTCATTACATGTTCCTGGCCAAAGTGCTGACAGGAAGGTACACGGTGGGTAACCACACCATGAGGAGACCGCCACCGGTGAACCCCGGCAGCATTACCAGCGACCTCTACGACTCCTGTGTGGACAATTACTTTGAGCCTCAGATTTTTGTCATTTTTAATGATGATCAGAGCTACCCTTATTTTATTATCCAATATGAAGAACTTAGCCACACGGTCTCCATTTGAAAACCTGTGCTGCTAAATTATTCATTGTAATAAACTCTCTCATCTGGCATTGATAGCAGTTTTTGTGGGGAAAAAAAAATGTGGACATTGCAAAACTGATTAAATTACTTGCTTGGAAGGAACTAAATCTCAAAAGATAGAAAAGATCTGAAGTGACCAATTGTGCACTTGCTGTTTGATTATGTATGTGCAAATTGTAAATATTTTTCCATTGTTTATAGTTGAAAATCTTTTGTTATAAAACACTGTTTATTTATGTTAGTAAATATTCATGTTTAAAAATATGTGGGTGTGTATAATTTCAGTTGTGTTCTGCACACATTAGAGCCGCTAGAAAATTGCTTATGCCCTGACCTCGAAACCTTACGGATGGCCATTTCTAGATAATCAGAACCAGATAATTTTCATCCCAAGTATATTAAATAAGAGATTCTCCCAACCGCTATTTTTTATTACTATATTTCAGAGAGATTGGGGGAGATTACAAAACTAACATTCTGCTCATGCTTTGTATTTATTTGTGTTGTCTTGCTTAATAATCCATCATTTTCTAAAATCAGGCCCTAAGTAAAATTAGAAGAGGGTCTGATGCCAGATGGCTTCCCAGCAGCTTCCAGGACACCCAGTTTGTCACCTTGGCCGCTGTGGCGGGGACGGGCAGGTCTGTGCCAGGTCTGTGCCGTCGACCCCGTGCGCAGCCGGGCACGTGCCACCGGCGCCCGCACGTCAGACATCCCCAGTTAACGGGGATGGGTTCTTGGAAGAGAAACCTCAAACGAAGCCTCTTATTGCTGAGGCTTTAAATTTGATCAAGGATGAAAATTGGCGTTAATGTCACTTGATGAGGCTGATATTAAGTGAATTTAAAAACGACTGGTGCCGCTGTGCTGCACCGCTCCCTGGGGCAAGTGAACGTCTTCCTACCCGGAAGCGGGGAAGGGGGACGGCGCGTCGTGCGGAACCGCAGAGCAGATGCTCGTGCTGGGGCGAGGTCACGCGGACAGGGCTGGCA